GACCGATCCCAAAGTACTATAGCGCATGGGTTAGGATTATTTTCCGAAATAATTCCTATTAAATTATAATTTGTTTCTACGTTGCCGTATGTGCAGCCAACCTGAGCAAGAGAATGGGCTGTCTGTTCAGTGGTATTAGAGAACTTTTATTGAAGTTTTATGTTTTCTTCGTATAAATGTCTAGTTGTAATTTATGTACATGCGCAATCTCGTACCCAGAGCAATGCCTGTGCGCGGGCTAGAATGGCATTGGCTCTGGGGAAATTGAATTTTTCCTGTGCTGTGATTGGTTTAACGTTTATCAATCGTGCATGCCGACAAAGAACCGGAACCCCTAAATTTAGGGGTTCCGGTTGTCAATTTCCCCAGAGCCAATGCCATCCTAGCCCGCGCACAGGCATTGCTCTGGGTACGAGATTGGTGCATGCGGGGGTTGCCTTGTTGGGACTTCGAGTCCGTTCGCCGATTCCATATCTAACTCGCCTTTGTTTGTTGTAATGTCTTTTGTTTCGTTTGCACATAGCATTGTAAATTTCGCGAGTTTGATAAGGCTTCTTATTATTGTTATTACAGAAAGGCGGGAAACAGTGAAGAGGGCACTCGGTGCTGCATTGCATTCAGTTTTTTTGCCCGGCAAAGTAAGACAAACCTTTAAAGTGCCTATGACACGAAATTTTACCCCAAAGGTTTATGGTTGCATTGTAAAGATCACTTAAAATAATTTCTTTTATAGAATTTTGGTAACTTGCTCCCCGCTTTTCAAGATATTCAACTTTGTTTCATATGCAAATATCACCGGTGTGATATCACATCACATAATGAGTTTTCAGAAAAGTATAGTTTTCTTGACGAATACGTATCTAAAAAAACTTAAAAACTGCCCTTGTATATGTATTAATTTCATAACTGGTAATTAACCGTGTGATTTGTTTGTAAACATATTTTATCAAGGTAAGATATTGCGTTTTCAAAATGTCATTATGGATGCGATGTGATGTCACACCGGTGATATTTGTATATGAAACAAAGTTGAATATCTTGCAAAGGAAGCAAGTTACCAAAATTCTATAAAAGAAATTATTAAGTAATTTTAAATGATCTTTACAATGCAATCATAAACATTTGGGGTGAAATTTCGTGTCATAGGCACTTTAAATTTAACCAGGATTTAAGTCAATCAAATTGTCAATGAGAAATGTCATTAGTCCCACAAATGTATTATTCAGTACGTTTGATAGTTTTCGAGTTATCTTGCTGGCAGACCGCACGCGCACATACCACACATACAAGTGCGAACGAAAACATATAACCTCTCGCGGAGGTACAAATTATGTGTTACAATTGGCCAAGTACATTTTTATTAGGTAGACTGTTTTATTATTCTAAACAATTAAAAATTACGTACAAACGTACAAAGAACTTAATTAAAAATTATTTTACAGAATATCAATAAAAATATTATATTATCCTTGGACTAGGTTTCTGTAAGCATTTTACACGTTCAATTCAACTGATGTTGGCCAAATTTAATAATAGAGATGGATGATCCATATTACAAAACATTGGCAAAGAAAAGATGGTTTGGCTGATAATTTTTCTGCGTATAAATGTGGCAAATAACAGATTATCTTTATTTTACTCTTGTCTAATGCCAGACGATTTTATTAGTTAACAGTTTTTTTCTCAGGATTTTCTCTTCGGTCCGTTTTTGCGGAAAGATTGAATTTGGCTGAGGGGCTCCTCCCCGGATTTTGTCCAGATCTCATAAAATCTAATTTAGCCAACAGATCGTAACAGATTGCACTAAATATCTAACAATCTAGAGTTGTAATAAAACTCAATTGGAATATTTCAGTTTTTCCTATAAAATAGTCCTTCAATACTGCACAATGTTTCTGATCTTAACGCACGGAGTTACTTGGAGCCAAGTTTTGTAAGTTCTTCGAGCACGGCTTCTGACAGTTCTTCGGCGTCTTTTACTTTTTCGCGCATAATTTTTTCCTGACAAAATAAATAAAATTAAAAGATTGGGAAGATATTTAAATAATAAAGAAAACTCAGGTTGATCTCAGCTCAGCAAATTGTACTCAAGTAACCACTTTTAATCGCGTGTTTTAGCCCATTTCCACTCAAGAAAATCTTCCACGGACAGAAAATCTTCCGAAAATATCATTGTTAAGAGATGAAAATTTTCAACTTCAAAATTTTTTCCCACGGAAAATTTGTAGTGTCGGCCAATAATATTTTACAAAATTATCTTTCTGCGGAAAATTTCCCTATCGTTGTCTCGACTGGGATTCGTGAGCTTGGTGTTAGAGTCAAACTGGAAGCACTCTTTTCATCTATTCAGTAAACAATTATTTATTAATTTATTTACGCACAACTCTATTGTGATGGCTCTCGATTTCCATTCTTATAAATTCTTCCACTGTTAGTTTTCCTTGAGGTTTGCCTTTCTTTGCAAAAGAACAATTTGGAGAATGCGCACGATGCTCTGCCCTGTGAAAGATACGATCAGAAGCTTGTGAGAGAAGAAGATAAATTAAATCAGAAGCTATATACGTCCGTTGGTTTAAAGAGGGGTGGGGAGGGGCTCCGATAATCCTTTAATTCGAGAGTTTCAGCAAGACAACGAAGTACGAAGGCGTACTTGACAATTTTTGCCGTCTGCACATTATCTCACCTGTGACATTATCTTGCGCATACTGAGTTGGACGTCACTGGTCAGTGGTGTTCGCTCAACGTGTCTTACCACATGTCGCTGTTTATGAATACTGCCCTAATTCTTGCCCAGACCCTGACAAAACAGCGAGACATGAAACTATATCCCGTCTTTGTTCTTCTGCCTTCGTGTAAAACGAAATTCTCGACGAATTTTTCCAAAATATTCGTTCTGAACGAAGGCAGAAGAACGAAGACGGGATATGGATTCATGTCTCGCTGTTTTGTCTTTATCAGGGTAAGGATTTGGTTCAGCATTCATAAACAACTAGACATGAATCTCTGAAAGGGTACTTGGCACAGAGATGAATGGCTATCGCTGTTTCAATTTTACAAGCAACACATAAAATTTGTTAATTTTTCACTTTGATCTACCTTTCCGAAGGGGAGGTACATGACTTTTCAGGGGAAGTGCGAGACTCTCCAGCAAAGGTTTCTGGGATATTTTTCACAAAACCAAACTTCAATTACCATGGATTATCGTGTGGTTCCCAGCCTTCTAATTCTTTGAAACAAACATAACATCGTGCCGAGTCTGGTGCTGCGTCAGTGCCAGATGAATAAAACCCAGCTTGAGCCATCTAAACATTTCAATTTATTATAAACAACACAATAAACATTTTTTATTATTTTTTTCTCACTTGGCAGCATTTTTGTCGTAACACGACTTCGTCCGGTTGTCTTCCATTCTATCATTACATATTTTGGATTCTTGCACTGCACTTGGTGGAATTCATATTAGAATGTTAGGGTTTGTAATCCAAGTAAGAATATATACATTTTAAGGCCTAACCAGGAACGACTGCGAAAAATGCAGCACAAGGTCCTCTGGTAGGAATTGAACCTACGGCCCTACGATTCCGGTGCAGCGCTCTAACCAACTGAGCTACAGAGGCCAACTGTTGAGCTGTAACCGTAAGTTCATGTATATATAGGTAATCGGGTGTGCGGGTTGTGATAAGGTGGACTTATCACAACCCACACCCCCGCAACCCGCACACCCGAT